TATAGCAGTTGAATCTAAGTTTCCTTTTTAATCCTATCTTATTCCTAATCCTATTCTTTGTCAATTACACAGTTCAGAATTTTTATTAGTGGTCAATCCATCCTTATTTCCCTTGTCAACCTTGTATAGGTGGATATTCCCAAGCGTGCTGCGCTTATGTAGCGTTCCACGTCCGCCTCAAAAAGCCAATAGACACAGATTGACTGCACGGCTGCTGCGGTGGCTGCCGTGCATCGTGTCTCGGGTTCGATTCCCGCACGGAACAACTCTTTGTGTGATCCATAAATTGTTGTACCGAGTCTGGATGTCATGTGTATGTGAAATTGTATGTTTGTAACCGCACCCACGACACAGGAGAAAATCCTAATGTAGAGCAAGGTAACAGAGCCGGGGTTTAGCCGGAGTTTTTTCATGTCATAAGTCGGCAAACGAACCGACGGATTACCTAATGGTAAGCAATCAGTGTCGACCATACACACTCGTAGTACCTACCAGGAAGTTACTACAAGTGCGTTGCCGATCTCTTGGGGGCTATTGAGGATTTAAGGTTAGGGAATTTGAGGATTGAGGATAGGGGGAGGAGGAAGAATTGGGCCTCCGGTAACCTCACTCGCACGGCGAAACACAACGTTAGTATTGCTTCATGCCGGTTTTCTGTGAGCTTGTTGTATCACTCCGGTGGCGCCAGCCTATTGGTGCCGAAGCATGACTCTCCTACATTTAAAATTGCGGCGTTGCGCAAACGTAATAAGGTACCGCGGCCTTGAGCAGAAGAAGGAACGAGGTTAGTCAGTAAGAGACTGATATTCCCTCCCGCCATACCCTGGGCGAGAGAAGTCATTCGATGATTTTCCCACATCGAAAAACAAAATAGGGGGATATTCATATACAGCAAGGCATATACAACGTTTGATTAAAAATTGGAAAAGAAAGTCTGGTGAAAATGGTCTCCCAACTTCCTCAATTTTATCTCCCTACTCGTTTTTTTGTTCAAGGTATTTAGAGGACCAGGTTATCACTTATTTTTTAATCATTATAGATACTCTTACTTCTCTGTGAGGCCGTGGTGGCCTGGAGGTTAGGGCGCCTGCATCTCATGCATGAGGGTGCGGGTTTGAAACCTGGCAAGTACCAATGTGACTTTTTCCGAGTTCTATGTACTTTCTATGATTATCTAGACACTACTGACATACAGTGAAAGAAAACATCGTGAGGAAACCTGGACTATAATTTCTAATTATAAGTTTGAAATCGCCAATCCGCCTTGAGCAAGCGTGGTGATTAATGCTCTAATCCTTCTCCGTGTGAGATGAGACCTTTGCTCAGCAGTGGGCACTTATAGGCTAATGATGATGAATCCTACTTCTAGTATCTTATGCGGGTTTTATTAGGTCACTTCATCTGACCCTGTCTATAAATCCCCATAAATTCTGTTTTAATTCCCTGTTAATAAATTAATGTTTCGGTTGGCGCGGTGGCTGGGCAACTGGCTGCCGCGCAACGTGTCGCGGGTTCGATTCCAGCACGGAACAACTCTTTGTGTGATCCGGGTCTGGGTGTGATGTGCATGTGAAATTGTATGTTTGTAAACGCACCCACGACACAGGAGAAAATCCTAGTGTGGGGCAACATTTCTATTAAAAAAAAAAAAAAAATATCCAGATTTCACGCAGGCAGAGTGCAGGCTCAGAATAAATCTACAAATAAAACGAATAATTGTTTTTTATATACTTTATTCACTACCCACAAATTACAACTATTGACTGAAAGGTTACAATAACAATGTTGCTTTTACATTACCAATCATCTAATTAGGTGTCTAATGAGATATCCCTTCTTTTTGCATAATATAAGTAATTTTTCCTAATATAATTTGGCATAAAACATTTTAGTGTAATTTGTTTCGTCACTTTTTTGGCATACAGTTTTTATTCGGATAATTATTTTGAGGGCTTATTTGAATTGTAAGTCTATTGCTTATTAATAATATTATGTTTTAAATTCAATACATTATCAAAAATGAATCACTGTAAAACCGACTTTAGGTAGTCCTGTCTGGTGGACCAGTCTTAAAGAAATTAAAATACCGTGGGTACTTGGACCTGCTATATATTGACCCCTGGCACCGAAGTCGTGACAAAAACTCTGTCTTACTCATGTTGTATGGTCACTCTGGCTGGTTAATATAGGTATGCTTAATCACTATTACGATTAGGGAAATTATGCTTAAAAATTATGCGTCAGCTGCTATTGGTATTATGCGAAATGTAATTAAGACAGATAAAAGTATGCCAAGTTATATTAGGTCTTAAAGTTGTATGCAAATAGACAGGGAATCGTCTGATGAACACTGACCAACTATTACGTATGCATAGCTGCATGTGAAAGGAATAGGTAAGTAGTACATAATAATATATGATATAAGACAATAATTATAAAATAGCATGTCACTTTCAATTCAGACTTTCTCATTTCAACAGTTCGACTACAGTACCACCGAAAATATTAACATCGTCGATTTCGACCGAAATCTCTTCTACTTATCCGTATAACATTTTCGTAAAAACACTTCGAAGGTTGTATAATTTTTGAAATACATATAATTGTCTTACATTTTCGAATAAGTTCGACAGTCCAAAACCTCATTTAAAGCTCTCACTTCCTTTCATTTCTTACTACGAGGAAACCATTAGAAAGTCAACCGACAAAAGTACGTTACGTTCGCCAAAAACTATATTTGTAGATATATATTAATTATATTTCTGGAAACTTCTTAATAATACCTACTACTACATTGTTCGTAAAGTACGCTTCGAATAATATCATAGAAATAGTTTATTTTATTATGAAGTAACTACACGTAAGGTTATCGAGAGGATATCTTTTCCGAGTACTTTTCTTTTATTTTTGGTGCCACAGAAATGATTTCACAACAGTACAAAATTTACTTGTGTATTAAATATAGCTTAGTTATTTCTTTAGTCGACGATTCATGAGACTGGAAAAGTATCTCCTTTGATAACCTTTAATAATTTTATTTAAACATTTCTACATTAATATCATAAAATATGGCTTCACCCTAAGCCCTTAAACTATCGAATCCTTAAGAACTTTTAATAGATAAAGAAAAAACTACAAACATTTAGTTTAAATTGCTACATTTATTTGAAATATATGTGAGATAATGATAATTGAGAAAAAATGTTTTATACGCCAATTTTAATGAAGATTGCCTACCCACAGCTGAAAAGTGCTACGGTAAGTAGGTACAATGCCACTTTATTAATTACTGTCGACCTCCAGTAAGAAGATTTTTCTTTACAATAAGCATTTTATATGTTCCTTCTTATTTTAAATTTACAAATAGTAAAATACACTTAGAGATATAAAAAGTTATAATAGAACTAAAATTTTCGTCTTCAATCGTATCTTGTTTTGCTTCAGTGCCAGAAACGGCTTATAAATGGGATAGTCACAAGCTGAAGATTTGGAGAAGTCAAAATATTGAAAAGGAAACATTATGAAGGACTTGCCTTCTTGGTGAATGGATTATTCAAAAATATGAGTTTTTACGTATAGGTACAAACAACAGTAATTGGCACTTTTTTATGATTGAAAACTTGCTCTGACATTTTATGTAATAATTAAATGACGAGATTACTAATTCATGGCAATATATGGCCACGTGGTAATACAATATATTTGTAAAACATTGAGAGTTCAAACTACATTTTGTTTTCATAATATCTAAAAATCTACTATAAACTTTTTAGCTTTGTCCCGCGATTTACATTAGCGCTACGGTCATGTGACGAAGCGACATGATAGCCTTTTAAATTAGGCTATCAAATGAAAAAATGTAATTGCATTACCGCGTTGACAAAAAGACAAACTTGTTTATATAAGCATATATTATGTAGATTGATGAGATCTATGCACTTGTGCGGTGACCAAACTTTACTAAATGGTACATGCACACAAGTTGAGCGAAGCTCAGAATAATATTACGTACCTACAATGAATATTTAATAGTCATTACCTAGTGTCAAATGCAATTTTAAAGTCAACAATTTTCGGTACTGACTGGCTCTACCCACTAGTCTAGCTAGAGTATTAATTTTATGAATATAATCGAAATTATGTGAAGAAACGAGGCTCTAATATAGGTACCCATACAACAGTTGCTCCTGGTGTATTGTGACAGGTAGATACATGGCAACGTTTACAGAAAAAGATATTTAAGTATTTGTCTGTTTAGGCATCATTGGACCTCTGTTCAATATTCAACAGATTTAAAGCCATCAATCAATAATTAGAGTTGTTACTATCGATCTACATAAAGGTGTTCACTTCATCTTATCTTTCCCTTCACATACAGGTTCAATGATGCACAAACAGACGATAAGAAAATAGAAAATCATGATCCCCTTACGGTCAAGTAAAAAGGTAATAAAAATCAAAAAACCAACTACAAAATGCTGAAATATAAATCTAAACAAATCACTTAAACTTTAACATATATTTTGAAGCCAAAAATTAAAAATACTCAGTCTTACGATACGTCAAAATAAGATATTTCTAAGTTATGCGTTATCTACACGAAAAACGTGGACTATGTCAAGTTTTGATACAATTTTAAACTTTGTCTACATTTAAAAAAGTTACTGGTTGACGTGACTAGGTTCCTTTTTAAGTTTAAATTTTAACATTTTGTTTAACTTTGGCAATATAGATTAGTTATTCAAGTTTCTTAAAGAAATATTTTGCTTGCTACATCATCTGTTGGCGTGTTTTTTTTTTGTATGTGGAAGCGAGCAATTAAGTCAAATTTTGCGCTTACACTTACGCAGCTTAGAATAATCTTAAATAAAAAAATTGTCGAAACTGTTCGACATAGCTACGTGTAAACGTATAGCCATACACTACTACATTAATGATTATAGCTACCACTACTTATAACATGAATATAAGAACGATAAACTTAATTAAGTATAAAGTGTCCATTTTAGAACAACTTTTTAAAACTAACCAGTGACATCCTGGGCTAACAACATTGATGAATAGAGGGTTATAATAAAAAAAAACTTACTTCTTTAAACATTTGATGAGATACACCAACTAAACGCCATTCTAAAGTCACTACGATGCTGGTATTCTTTTGAAATAACCCCGCAATACGTGAAACCGCTGAGTTGATGATAATGAAAACAACAGTACAATATTCACCAACTAAATGCCAATAGTATTTTTTAATTTGCTTAACACCTATTCACATGTTACGCTGAACAGTGACTACCTACAAGGACCCGTAATTTTGACATCTCAATATTAAAGGTGAATGACACTAAATCCGTTTCTCTATAACAGCTAAAAAATAACAAGCTAAAAATGAATTCTTAATATCTACCATAATATTATAATTAAATCGACATAACATATATTTTTCCGAGATCTTTGCAAGTTAATGTATTCAGGTCTCAGAAAATCGTTTCGAAAATGTCCGAGACAAATGATTATAGCCGTTGATGTAGCGTTTTTAAGTAGCTTCTTCTTTAACATCAGTGCTACATTCAACAGCTGCTTCCAACAGAATCAATTGAACACTGAACAAAAAAACAATTTTGATCCACCTACCATTTTAGTAGATAAATTATAACAAAACGTTACCATTAAGGATATTCATAGTAACAAGTTATTCATAATCCGAAAAGTCGAAACCTTCAAGCTTTTGATCCTCTGCTTCTTTCTCAATCTGCCCCAAAATATCTTGGACGTCCGTTGAAATCTGAAATGGTACAAAACTAATGTTAAGTCTCTGTTTTAACAGTATATTATAGGATGTTTGTATAAAACATAATAATTGCATTTTACTACAGATTAAGAAATAAGTAACTATGATTGATACGATAGCTCGTTAGAAAGTACAGTAGAAACTTACCAATAAATCAGGAAACGATGGATCAATTTCGTCCAAGGAATTCAATGCCGATTCAATTTGATCGGTGTCCAAAACTGTAAAAGACATTATTTCATTAATCCCGTGTATTGTACGAAAACTACCTAATGTTTGATAACGATATTAGCAGAACACTCACATGATTCATCAAATAATGACTCCAGGGATGATCCTGAGTCTGAACATTGATCATTTGTTCGGATGACATCAGTTTCTGTCACCTTCTTTTTGTAGGCAACGTCGAAATCGTCGAAATCATTAGGCCTTTTAATCCCACAGGTGTAGGTACTTGTGCTCGGTTGAGGGTACAGAGTCGGTTGGAACAAGTCTGTAGGCAATGAATATTGGGACGGCATGAAGTGCGCCGGTTCTGGTGTGTCATATGGAAGTTCTTCCACGGTAGCAGCAAAGGGTTGCTCATAGAAAATGTCATCAGCATTATCATTCTGATCAAAATTACCAAAGAATGGCGTAAAGTCAGAAAATTGACTCGGTGACGAATCAAAATAGCCCAAATCAGGGGACGCCACTGTGTTCAGGATCGATGGCGGATTGTATTCCTCTTGTGGTGGTGTCAAGTTAGCGGTTGGTGGAGGGTATCTAAAGGTGTTCTCGGGAACTTGCACATAGTTTGACACGTGACAGCTTTGGTATGGGACCATATTATGTGCCTTCTGTGGAGGAGCTACGGTCGTTTCAATTTGGTTCGTGTTGTTATACTTGGGAGTGCTGTGGCTTGAACCAGCGTAGCTACTTCCCTCTTCGTAATTAGAATCCCTCGGGACCGCCTTGATAACGTTGTAGATTTTCTCAATCGCGCTAACTATTCGCTCTTTGTTTGGAGGAATGATAGTAAGATGATGTGGCGATTTGTTTTTATGCGGTGACGAATTTGGCTCTTGATTAGATTCCGGTGGTGCAGGCGATGGTAAATTTGTTACCAAATGTAGAATGACTTGTTCGAGGCGCCGTGGGTCCTCAACCGGAACCGTCTCGTCAGAATCGTCATTCTGGTGAAAATCAAAGAATTACTTACTATCGTAATAGTATTGAATGAAACAAACTCTTACGAGTGTTCAACAAATCGATAAAAGTATATTTCCGCAAGACTTACCTCAATTTCATCCTGAGCATCTTCGATTTCATCCACTCTAGGGGATTCATTGCTGTTTACCAATAGCCTGAATTTCCTTTTCATAAGTTTTATTAATTGTTTGCCTTCTTCCTCGTCGACAACAGTGTTGGTGCACACGAAACTCGTGACGGCACGCGAGTCCCGGTCGACGTCGAGACAGCCGCGTGTCCTCATGTAGATGGACTGACCATTCTTGGTAATGAGTCGGTAGCAGGATTCGCCAAATAGCCGATGCTGGTCATACACTGGTAAAAAATCTCAAGTTAGATAGGTACCTTTCATTTTTTATTTTAAGTGTTAGATAAGAAATATATTTGTCGAAATTCGCTTAACTTATCGCAGACCAGGTATAGAAAAATATACATAGAACTAATTCTAAATATCTGTTCTTATGCCTTTGAGAACAAGTTTGAGTGTATAGAAGAGGCACCCATTTCAACTCAAACTGATAATAATAATCAGTATTGAGTAGAATGTATTAGATATAAGACTGTCGTTATGCGGTGTAATGGAAAAATAGAAAGTAGTTATCTTAATTAATAATAACTAATAGAATAGCGATAGACGTGGCGGATGAACAGGCGGTAAACAAGTGCCACTAGATGATAATACAGCTCGTCTGATTACGTACATATTTACTAACAAGCCGTTAAGTGACATTTTCATACGATGTTTGCTAGAAAATGCACCTACACTACAAAGGAAAATATTCCAAATATTATATTTTATATTGAAACAAATACATTCCATAATAAATAGAACTATGTCTCACATAGTTAAAAACAGATTCGCAAAGCACATAAAACGTTTGTGTGTAAACAATACCTAGTGATATTTATGGAATATGTTTCTCGCACAGGTAATTTAAACGTACAAAACGAATCATATCTACGTATCAAGTAGCTATTTGTAATGCCTGCTGATTAATGAGCAAGTCATCTTTACTTCGCTCCTAACAGTTTCGAGGAGTTTCTATGAACATCCATAGTCCGATTTCGTCTGAATTAATGTTTTTCATCAATTCTACTTAATTCGCGTTCAAACGTCGTGAAGATATAGAAAAGAAGAAGCCTCGTACACATTTTGTACTAACTACACGACCAAGTTTCTACAATATTCCATTCCATCACGGAACGCAAGAATGTGTACTCTGTACTTTATACAACATAGTGCAGTATCATTATGTGGAGTTGATAACGTCGACTCAGATCGGTCACCTGTTGCATGTGAACTGTTGCAATCTCATAACCTAGCCTTAGAGGTCGAGTCAAAACCATTTACATCCGCGCGGAAAAAGAACCAGTGCAATTTTATAGCAGCAACTATATTGCTTGCTTATTCCTTTCTATTACAATGCTGATAAAACAAATTTATAACCCGAATAACCTTTTTTTGTGTGAATTTCGTTTTGTTTATAGAAACATTTAATTGCACAAGCAGATAACCTTCCTGCGTTTTGAAAGTTATCTTTATGAGGTCATTTACTTGCAGTTTTAGTGTAAGCTATTGTAATTTCCTGCATTATAGCAGAATTTGAAAACGTGTCACTTGTTGCTGAGGGGATTTATTGTGAAGGGATGTTGAGGCGCGTAGTAATACTGTTGAAATGTGGTTTAGGTGGGGATAGAGCGCGTGCGGGATGTAGCGTCGGCAGGCTTAGGACAAAATTGTTCGCGAGGCACTTACTCTCTCGAAGGGCGATGATGACCCAGCGCACATCGTCGCGGTGCATGAAGTTCATTGCATTCACTCCGCTGACTTCGTGCGTCATGTAGCCGGTGACGAGAGCAATGCGAGAATCGCATTGTATAATCTCGCCGTCGATCGAGTGCCTGGTGCGATACTCCATACGGTATGATTCGAGAGCACTCTCGTTGATGAATGTTTCGCTCGTGGGTCGCACAATACCTATAAACACCTGAAAAAGATTTTAATTTCTTAGTTAGAAAGCTTATAAATATTTGTTTACTTATCAGTCACCTACAAAGGACTCGTAATAGGAGGTTTAAGTCTTTCATAAACCCACTCTAGTTAAACATAAAACCTAACTATTGCTTTACATCGGCCACGACTTTTATACCAAAAAGTAACTTTTGAAAAAGTAGCTGCACTAGGTACTGTTTTGAAAATTACCACGTTGTCAAAACGCTATAAAACAACTCTTAGCAGTGTCGAAGTAGGTATAATTATGAAAATGACTTGGTATTAAAATACCAACCTATATACAAAATGTAACTAGCAATATCAGTTCAAAAACTCATCCTGTATGGTTAGACACAAGTATCCAATAAGGAGTAAGTAATGTACGAACACGTGAAGAATTTTCTAGAACATCTCTAGTAATAAAAACAATATTAAACTTCTTGTTTTCTGTTTGTTTATTCTCTTACATCTAGTGCTTTTTCCTTTCGATGCAATATTGCTTCGTTGGATGCACGTGTGACTGAACAGCAAGAAGACCCAGCTAATGAAGAAGGGTCGGATTCAAACCACTACGGGCTGATACTCGTAGTAGTTACAATAAAGTTTTTCATAACAGGTTTTAACAGTTACAATAGAAATTGTACATTCAGTTGCATAATTTTGATTAAAATCACGAGTAATAAATTTCCTTAGAACAAATGCAAATACAATTAAGTTTCTCTGTCAAGCTAAAGACGTTTTATCTATCGCAGTGTTTACAACGAACTTGGGCAAGTTAGTCAAAGTTGTTGTCACTCGGAAATTTCCATTGAACTTTCCCAGTTGCGCTCCTCCATAGCGTAACGAGGCGTATCGATTTTTAAAACTACTCCCGGTTTTGTAAACTGAAATGGATTTTGTTCTAAAGTTTTCTCGAAGAACTTTAGTACCTACAAGAAATGTAACGAACTTGTCATACGTTTTGAACTCGGAAATCTTCATAATAGAATAATACATAAATGTTTCTGTAGCTATTAATGCATTTAAATTGAAAAACTATTAAAGTAGCAATATATCCGAATTTAACTAAACAACCCTTATTTAAAAACCACTAGGTATTTTAATTTCTTATGAATGTTTATCTTCAGTCACGTATCTCTATGTGTATATCATAAGACTGTCTACCTATATACAATTTATGTAAAATATTAATACAGATACACCTTTAACCTGCGCTTTAATTAATTGGCCTGCATGTAACTAAATCGTTAATTATTTAGGTATAGCTGGGGATAAAATAAACAAAATTTATTGACTAACTACTTAGAAATAACTTTGTAGCATCTTATGTAAGTTATTAGATGGTGAACGGAAAAACACGCGAACTCTAAACCCTACCAGTAACATCGTATGTACCTAAGATGTACCAAATACTAAGGGTTAAATAGTAAAATATATCAAATTAATATAGGGAATAGTAAAATAATACTTTTTTTTATTTTCGGAAAATAAAGGGTTAAATACAAAAAGTAATATTTCGTAATTAGTAGTTTAGTTTTAAATATTTTTTCATACATACAATATATCTCGGCCATAATTTCAATACTAATAACAGCAAACATTAGTAGGTAAAAGACAAGTTTTGAAAGAGACCTAGTCCTTTCGATAAGATGTTAACTTAGTTTTATTCCTTAATAATTTCGTGGGACTGAAACAATGTGACATAACCAATGATATTAATGGTAATATGGTGTAGACTGGTTACATAAACAAAATTCGATTTTCAAAAAGGGCACACCAATGCACACAAGAATAAAGCGTATGATACACGTTGAAGTGGGATGGCATGATTAAATAATCACGAGTGAAAAAGAGACAAATAAGAAAAAGTGTGGCTAGTTAGCCACATTTTAATGTATCACAACCTATCTATGCCTTTTTACTTTTAATATCATTGGACATAACATACACATTTGTCCTTTGGTGCTCATTTTTTACTGACAGACAGAAGCACAGCTATTAGGATCATGCTTCTAAACTTAATATGAACACGTGTAACGTGCATGTTACAGTTCAATCCTATTGCATTGGGTTTCTAAATAAAAATTCTAGTACCACTTCTATTTCAGAAGTTAAGAACGATTGCATTTCCCATTAAATGACAGACATACCATTTGTACGTCTGAATATTTTAATGTTGGTATCATAGGAACCATAGTAACGCTTGCCATGGCAAGTTATTGTTCTGTAATAGGTCTATTGTATTTGACAGATTAATGACCCAGACTTACACGTTTCGCTTGATATATTATTTAATGTCTGTCGTAGTCTGTTTCGACTGTTAACACAGATTTCGAGCTTGGCCCTTGTTTCAATTTATTTTCATTAAAAAAGATGTTTAGTTGTTGAAATTAAAAGAACGGCTAATAAGTAGCTGCAGATTGAGAAATGGAAAAACTCATCATATTTTGCTTGATCTGGAAGTCAGACTCAAGTTATTAAATACAGTCTCGAGCTTAACACACAATATAACTCCTTGTAAGTCCGTTTAACTAAATATCTTACGAACAAAGTTAAATTGATGGTTTCGAAAACAAATTGCAATAGGTAAGCCAGGAAAAATATTCGTAGCACTGTAAGAAAACAAAGAGCTATCTCTATCTATTACAAATTGTTACCAACGTGGGCGGTGTACATTCGATTTACTTCGAGTCAACACCCCACGACCTGTTGCGTCACTTGAAGCATGGCTTGTAAGCCGGTAACCGAGTCCGTAAGAAGTTTCATAGAACAAATACATTGTAACACGTGGAAAAGTATCTAGTCGACTCCGGTTTGCGGTTACCAATCTACGCCTTTTAACGTTTTGTATCGAAAACCGAGTTTAAACAATCGAATAGCGACCTCCTATGACTACTCGCTCAAAAAAGATTTGAAGTTTACATTTCCATTCCATTTCGAAAGTTAATTACACGTCAGTGTTAGTCCGAAATTCCCACACGTGGCAACATTGAATTTTTTCGTCGACGAAACAAAAATATGAACATTAAAACTCGAGTTTCATCCCTGTGGCGCATTCCAAATGAAAATGTCTAAACTTGGGCAGCTTATGCATCGCTGCTGCAACCGAGACTGTCCTCAATACATAATCATTAGGATGTGAGGGAATTAAACTTTTAAAACCTATATTAAGAGTCATTTATTCGCTTCAGTTTTGATTAGTAAATCGATTTTGGTCTGTTAAGATTATCTTTAAAAGATGATAGTCACATCTCCAGATGGAATACGTTTAGAAAATAAATTTGAAACTAAAACATGGGGTAGCCAAATACATTTGAGATAACAGTACTTTGTTCTTTATTATGCTGTACCTATCACAATTTTAAATTCACGTTGACTCTTGAATTGGTGTATGTTTTTACGGCGTTTAATATACATTAAAAAAAAACAATTAAAAATTGACAACGGACTTGAATCCGCAGACGAATCTAGATTCCATATTCAATTTTTAAAAACTTAATCCTTAATGGCCAATTGTATCTGAACGAGTAGCCTTTAAAAGAGATTGCATTTCAGTTAAAATCAAATTTAATATCATATTGATTTATCAAATTACTAATTCTGTTCAAATTTTTTTTTATTTCGAATCCATTTAGGATGTAAGTAATTAATGCAAAGAGTCACAGTCAAACTTCCCAAAAAGTGGTTAAAATATGTTAAAACTACATTGTAAAAGATATTCTTGCAAGAAAATAATACGGATTACGAAAATTTGTATCTTTATGGTATAAGTATTTAAATTGAAATTCAGATCATAAAAAAAAACTGAATGCAAAATTATGCTCGTTTGTTTTCGCTTCATAATATATTATGTCGACTGCATGTATGATTTGCACTCATCCACTCATTTTCGTTGCGTCCAAATTACCGTTATACTGCAAACATTAAGGACTATGTTACATAATTCATGTTATATGGACGTGCTTTCGAATACATGTTAATTTTTGATTACATTAGGTCTTAGGTGCATCATCGGGGTCAGTGAGATGCAGTCAATTCTATTAATATTTATAGCAAAACGGTTCTTACTTTTATTTTTAAAATTTAGGTACCTACGCATGTTATTAAAGCGACTTTTTAGGATTATTTTTAGGTATATAGGACAGTTAATAATTATTTTTTGTTGAAGGATAATTTTAACCGCAGTGTCACACATTTCATCCTATTATTGCGTTGCTTTTCATGAAAACTTTTAATAATAACATTCTGAGATTTTTGATCGTACAATGAGATTGTTATGCAAAATTCAAAAACAGAACGTGATTTCATTAATTCAATAAAATTAATTACTATAATATTCTTCTCAACTATTTTATACTAAAATCAAAAAGAAAGAATCAATGTTGTGTAAAAATTTAGTTAGTGGTCAAAGATTACCAACTAAAAAACTTTTACTTATCTATACTTATAATAAGAGATAAGTCATATAGTGCAGTATTACGCACTTGCGGTCATTTACCCTATCATGAGTATAATAAAAATAATTATAAATTTTATTAAAAAAATAATCTTTACAAAAAAGCACACTATTCCGACAGAATAAAGGTTTGGCTTATTACAGTAATGATACCATTAGAGTGCTAACAAAATATACTCAAACCCTAGATTATAGTAAAATCTTAGAAATATCTACTAGGTCCTTGAGTAACTATAAGTACCTGTAATTTTTCTTGGGCTCTTTGTAAAAAAAGTATGAATTTTGTAAGAAGGTACTTACGATATCGTTGCCGCTGGAGCACGGGTTGTCAGACCTGGCCCTCGCGCGGCGCACGACCTGACAACAACGGTTGTAGGTACGGCACGCACGGTCAGACTTCCTCAGGGACCCTTCCACGTGACATGTTATGTACTGGTTAGGCTCAGACCGCTGGCCCAACTTCTTAAGCCTGTCGATGTAAAGAGCCACATGAAAATAGTAACGCAGCGTGCAAAACACATAAAAAAACATTCGCGCTAAAGGAATTAGAATTAGATTTGTCTTAGATATTAAGTTCTTTTGGACGCCAGCAAAGAAAATCCTTTCTAATATAAAGTATTTCTAGAATGATGCATGAGGTGATGTAACAAATTGAAAATGTCGAATGTAATTTAAAAAAATTTATGAGCCACTGTACTTTCTCTTGAAGTATGTCTTTTGGTCTTTAGATTTCATTACACGGGCAATTTTCATATTTAAAATTATTATTACATCAAACATTTTATTGAACTGTTCTAAGTGGATGCAAAATCTGGAATGACGACCCATTTGGAATTTCGAAAGTCCCCTATTTTCGTCACGCGTACTCTTACCCTGTTATTGAAACATAAGGCTTCACGGAAGTATGAAGGTTGGGGTTACAACAAAACATCAGAACACAGGTATATAAAAGTACAACGGTGAATATAAATAATAAAATGTTATTTTGATATTCATATTAATATTAAGACCAATGAAGAATAGTGACAACAAATGCCAGCCCCATTCTTAGCCTCTAGTGCAAGTTTATGTTTTTTGGCAGCCTCTTGTAATCCCATGAAGATATCGGATCAGTTGTATCGGTACTTTCAGCCAAACCACAATATTTCTGGGTGAATATAGCTTACGTTACTATTTCCATCCCATAGCAGAGTATAAGACAAAACGCACGAAAATGCTAATGTCGAAAATGATAATGGTGATGAATGTGGCGAAAAAGCATGTTACATTTTTGTTATAACATTAGTATCGTACATGACTTCGCTTATTTGTTTCGCTAGCTAAATATTGTTGGCAACGTTAGCAGTTTGCTTATTGTTCTTAAAATCGCTTTGGTCGCTTTAAATCTATTTGGTATAAAATGCTCTATTTGTTCAATCGCATTTGCCGACCAGCTTGTAATAACACAGTTAGTACAACATTACCATTAGCCCCTGAAGGGTGGAGTTCGACATCTAGTTGAACTAGAAGTACAATCAGCTATCGTACACCCAGTACGTGGCTTGTTCGTTGGCGTTTAGTAACGATGACGCCTGGCACATTATGCAAAAAGAATAAAAGCTGGCATTAGGCGGTGCACAGACGCGTCACAGGACCAGGCCCTACCTACACCGAATAAAAGTCATCAGTTTATTATATTCCGCGTCAGTTGTCTACGCCCTGTAGTAAAGAAGAAATATACTTGCATAAAGCCCACTCACCTTATTACAAATTGCCGTTTCTCGTTTGCCAAAGCCCTTTTGACTTTTTTAATGGCGTCAGGTTCGTCCGGTATCAAGAGTTCTCCATTTGGACCCAGTTTCTGGGACCTTGGCATCAGTTGGTCGCGTAGTAAGTTCCGATCTGCTTCATGGGTTATTGTGTGAAGATTTTGACCAAGTAGGTCAAGCTGTAGGGAAAAAAGTTTTATGATAAGTTAAGTAAAGTATATATGAAAGAAAGTCGAAACAAAATGCGTATTTGTTAATATAATATAACAAGTATCTAATAAGCATAACTGCGTAAAAACAAAACTAAAATTAAAAAATATGCCAAAATAAATAGTAAAAAATTATCAAAGTAAAAGAGTACCTACTCCTTTATATAAGCATTGAGTTGATTAGGATTACTTCTAAAAAATTCAAAGTTATTCATTTTCTAATGAATTAATTTTCCATTGCATCGTTTTGCATATTATTTATTATGCGTTTTATTATTTTATATACATAATATGCCAACCGCACATTCGCAGTTGCGATTAAATCCAATTAGCAATAGCAATTAGAATAGTAGGATATAATATGTATGTAATTTTTAATGGCAGTTTAAAATATTTGCAAAAATTTGTTAAAAAGATAGCGATTTTGAATGTGTCTATTTTCCAAAGTTAATTTTAATACTTTCAAGTGGTTGGTATCTTCGTGAAACAACATTATTATAAGTTTGACATACATAATACCGATATTACGTAAGATTTTCCTTAGAAAAAATTAGCTGGCTACAACTAACCATAAAAATATTATTGAGTTATAAATCATGGAACAAAATTGCAAATTGAATCGCTTAAGAATCTATACGTATCAGTTTATCATCAACATTTATAACTACAACTAGGTAATTACTGTCCTACAAAGTTTTCCTTATTTACTTTAGTGAGTGCAATTGTAGGTGAATAAACTATTGAAGGTTTTCTTGAAGAAAACAAATGATAGTGTAACACATACTAAGTATCAGTGCATTATGAATATATTAAAGCATTTTTGGGAGTTTGCAAGTAATCAATCACGAATTATAGATGACAACACAAAGAAAATTACTCTAATCGATTTATACTAACAATAGTTAAAACATCAACGTGAAATATGCTGACTTAGATTTTATTTCTTGCTTTTCTCTTACAAATTATTATAAAGCTACTTACCTCATTATAACCCAGATATTGGTTGACATTTTGGGAGACGACCACGATGATGCCCCTATACGTTGTAGTTATCAGGAATCCGTTAAACATGCTTAAAACCTTTTGGATCGAAGCCGCGCTGAAATCTTGTGGGGATTTCCCAATCGAGTCACCAAATACTGCGGAAAAAGGCATTTATATAGGTCATATTATAGAGAAATAGGAAATAAGTGATTATTCTTATATTGTTGCTAACTTCCTCATAGGGAGAGAGAAGGAGTGCAAATACACGGCCGCAGAATACACATTCATTTAAGCACACAGATTAGGCATTGTCCTATCTATCATCATCTGTTTATTAGTGGCAAAAAGTGAGGCATCCCATTTAAGTGTGAGAGACCCATACTTGGGCGCTAATCGGTCGGCTTGACCGGATTTATACCAAAGCCTCGCAGAAACCGGCATAAAGCTACCACAGCGTTGTGTTTCGTCGTGTGAATGAGGTTATCGGAGGCCCAGTCCTATTCCCCCTCCTCCAATCCCCAAATCGCTGAAATCTCGGTCACCAAAAAGTCTTCTAGTGGTGTTGGAGTCCATGGGCAGCGTAGATTGCTTACCATCAGGTAATCCGTCAGCTCGTTTGCGGCTATATTACAAAAATGAAAATCTTCCATAAAAGTAAAATATATCACACATTAGAAGAGAAAAGTAGACTTAAAATTTCAGACGTGCGTGAGCTGTATCACGGCCTGAGAGACGTATGCTAGGTAGTCAAGAGTTAAATAAGTGCTACAAAAAATTTAAATCACAGCAAATGTAGCAACGAGCCGTTTTTAATTAAAAACTTGGCTCTCAGTAAATAAAATATAATTATTTGTATAGAGACGTCGCGTAAGTAACGATATATACAGTATCAACAGTTGTCTCATTTTTAAAAAGAAAACCTAAAGGTCTCTGCTCTGAGTTGTTAAAATATTCGTTTTTCTAGCAATTAATAGAAATGCTGATTCATTTTTGTTTAAAACAAACTGTTCAATCATATTGCTTATTTTACGAGGGAAACTGTCGTCTTTGACTATGCTATTTTAACATATACGAAAAGGAACCAACCAATGGGTGGTCCCGTTTAATTTCTTTCACCAGATCGCGCAAGATTATTATTATTGATTATATTATTTTTGATTTAGCAAATTTGATAGGGATAATGGAGTATATAGGTTAATTTTCACACACTTACCCGTCAAAGAAAACCTTTGATGGGTGTTAAAAATCCCAATAAAATAAGATTTAAGTTAGGCCGGCTTTATAGTGGAAAATGTTTTCTCATTTGCAAATAAATAAGGTACCCAGTTCCTTCACAAAACCTACACAATATTGTTGGATCAAAGTGTCAATTTCATTTTAATATTGATCCTTACCTTTATGGACTGAAAAGTGATATTTAGAAATTCAGATTTACACCATGTTGGATAAGGTTATGGCTATATTACGCCACCGCGTTATGACTTGTTCACGCTGTCTACGGTGACATTGAAACTAAAATAACTGAATTCGCAATGCAGTGTGTTGACGCCCTAAGCAGAGGAGCATGGCGGCGCACGTGCGCGGGCGCACTCACGTTACTATACACGACCGGATTTTATATTGATAGACAAATATGTTACATTGCAATTACTAATTGTACTAAATCCCACATAATTACTATGTTAATGTTTAATGGCATTCAACTTAATTCGTGCTTACATACTCACCAATTACTAACACTCGTCTAATTAGTAAGTTGGTACTGTTGCCAAAAGATAACATTAGTTAGTAACACTGCATAAGAAATTTACACAAACAACGACATTATCTAATTTGACAGCAAAATATGACGTACGAAAACAACATACATACGCGTTACTATGTATCAGGAATGTATAATTAGAACATAAAAAATAATGTAAGTATGTAGATAATATCGTATGTGGTGAATATGTTATTATGTAAAGCGTGGTTAATGAAATGCATGTTACATTTCCCGAGCAAACTATTAGTGACACGAATGCGTGAGTTGCTACTATGAATAGATTTGCACTTTGCACTAGTTTATTGGCTACGTCCAGTTACCGACGGATCCTCATCGTATAAGCATCGCCAGTCTTACATTGTAACAACAGTTCCTAAAACAACCACATAACCATCTCTTAATCGAGATCAATCGCGTCCAATTTTATTAGAACTGCAAATACCCGTTGATGTGTCACATTGTATGAAACGACTTTGCAACAATGTTGCCTAATAATATTGCACTTTCACGATAGAAAATCAATATAATACAATATAGAATACATCTAGAAGGTGTCGCTCATGTTTATACATTAGTCTCATCAATATTACGTCCCATTTGTGGGAGGAATCAACTTTACTAAGTATATCGTTAAATTACAAACGTCTCTATCTTTAAACGTTGCTTAGCCTACCCCACTTCGTCCTTATATATGAAATTAATATTCTAATTTTGTGACTCATTGTGTTTATACATTGCAAGTATCTATTTACCGAGGTACTCGTTCCACGCACACGTTATGTACTTACTTGTTGTTACTTTACAAGTTATGGACTACTTTACGACTTTTATAGTTTTTGTTCTTAATGGGTACACTTAGGCTAATATGACAACAATTAATACGACGGAACACTGTCTTATAGGACAATAATACCGACAGAATGTTCTAGACTTTTGTAAGAAAATCGTATTCGATTATTATAGAAGTGCATAGTTTAAATGTATCGATGTTGTTGGAAGGTAGGTACTTACATAGCCTGCATAGCTACTTGTCTAGGTTATTTCATTAACACAAGTATTTATTTGACTTCAAATTTCTATTAATTCACCACTGTCTACTTATTTTATCAAAGTTATACTCTCGTATGTGGAAAATGACATGCCATTAATAACATGATACAAAATGTGCGCACCTGCATCGTCCGTCGGCTATCCTGCTAAATCAAAGTGTCTTGCGTTACACTGACAATAGTGTCTTCCACTAAGACAATTCGTTTTAGTCGAGTATGCCCATCGTAATTGGTATGGGTGGAGCTTGCATTCCAACACATAACAATTACTGAATGGAATGTGGTGAAACTAGAAAATATTTGCAAATTAAAGCGTAGAACTAGATCACTCACTGCGTCACTCAAACCCATAAGGTGATCAGGTTATACAAGTCTGGGAGCTGATGACATACTGACAATGAAGGGTCTATCTACATATTAAGTACTTATATAATATATAATAGCTCGAAGTGATATTAACGTATTCCGTAAAAGATTAATAGAGACTACCTTTGTTGAAAAACAGTAAAGAGACAGATTTTAGTATGGACTTGTACACATTATTTTAGGTTGGTAAAATCAATATATAAAGGTTATTAAATATTATATGGATGGATATGTGTAATGATTACCTACAACACATGAACAAGACATGGCGTTCAAGTTCCTCACAAATCAATCTCTGTGCTCAATCAATCTCTTTTTTTATTGGATAGTCCGGAATACCTGATGGTAAGCAATCGGCGCCGCCCACGAACACCCGCAACACCAAAGGAGTTACGAGTGCATTGCTGACCTTTTAGGTATACGGGATTCTAATATTTAAGGATTGGAAAGGGATAGGGGAAGGGAGAGGGATTGGGCCTCAGGTAACTTCACTCTCGCGGCGCGCAACGCTGTGGTTTTTTACGACAATTTACTATGAGGCCGTGGTATCGCTCCAGTCGAGCTGACCCATTTGTGCCGAAGATTGGCTGACATCACTTGGTCCTTTGTTTCAAATGTAAATAGTAGTTACTTTAAGCACTTACCGTATTGGTGAGCTCGTAAATAGTGTGCTGTGAGACGCAATACAGTCGTCTTGTCCAACTTTCGCCTAGCTGCCACAACTGGAGGCACCATAGACGCGAGATCGGCAACAGACTGGTTCAGTCTATCCCGTCGCATCTTCTCCGCACGATTGCGGACCTCCCTCGGATTCTCTCTGTGACACAAAACAAATCACATTTTTACAAATGTTCCAATAATATAATCTATCTATGACCAAAATAACGAAATCAAATATCATTATCTTCGGCGTCGTATTGATTATAGGGACAAGGGATCATTACCTTGCGATTCTTTGTAAAATGTCGTCAATTCAATATTATTTATCGGGCATAACCTACAAAATATTAATATACTAACGTAACTTCCATTTGATGTTATGTACGAAATTGTGGAAAGCGTACTGCCTAAGTAAATACCAGCCAATCAGAAGAAGAAAGGTTTTACGCAGATATAAGCTAGCTACCTACGAAATAAGCAGCTATTTTATTTGTATACTGGGAACATGAACTAGAATCTAGGAATAGCCTAATTGAAAGTTTACAATTCATGACTTTTGTATAATCAAACATCCTGTTAGTCGAACGAATTACATTGTATTAATGTTCGTCAACATAATTATGCATATACTTATACGCAAACACCGCCCCGATTTACTTTACGTTCAATTCTAATGTTTTCCCACGAAAAAATTGTTTAGTAGGCACGCATATTTGGAAAATAGAAACATTAACAATTAAATTTGAGGAAACATGATTATACGTTGTGAATTACAATTTATACGACGTTTTTATACTCACACTAACCTTCTGCTAAGCAAAAAGGTATAAGAAAGGCGCAAGAAAAACAAAACCATTCTCTTTGTGTTTTTGACGCAGAGAAAAGGCGAGAAAATATCTGTTTATTTAAGTTTTAATTATTTGTGGTGTCTATGGTAGGTACCTACTTCAGTCACAGACGTCTTCTTTCTGCCTGCTTGTTTATGGTCAATTATTTTGCTCAAAGCTCTCCAATAATAGATAAACATAAAATAAAATAAGTAAAACCATTTTTAAATAATTTATTGAAGTTTTGCGTTTATGCGCGGTGCGTCATGCGCCAATGACGATTGTGTGCTTTAGTGGGTCCGACTAGTAATGGCAGCGCGGTGCGATGGCGCCACCGCCGCCCGTGGTAAACGAAAATTTTTTGTTAGGAGTTAAAATAGGCGTTCGAATTTTAAATTAATCGTGCCATCAATTTTTTAATTCGGATGTGTTGTCATTAATAATTTATGGAAATCAGTGAAAAATTAATCTTATTCCACAATACTATTTAGGAATTTATGTAATTTATGAAAAATAAAAATAAATATTTTTTATGTTGTCAACAACAGTATAGTGCGATGTTTTTTAGTTTATTGTTTTAGTTTTTGTTTTAATTTTATTGGGATACATAAAGTTGGTACGCAATCAACGTTCTTTTGAACTGTCACTTGATCCTAAAGGTAGTTATTACAAGTAGGTAGACTAAAAGTAAATTAGCTTTTATAATATTCCAGGTACTCTCGCGCGGTTTCACCCGCTGCTCGGCTCCATTTAATCGTAGCGTGATGTTTTATAGCCTATAGCACTCAGGAACATTGTAGCTATCTATCGGTGAAGAATTTCGGCAATCCGACCAGCGTTTCCAAAGATTACCCCATACATACAAATTTACAAACATACAAACTTACAATTTTTACCTCTTTATAATATTAGTATAGATAAATATATAACATATAAATGACATCATAACCATACACTTTCCTAATATTTCTATCATTGTAGTACAATATTACTATAACAAAAAGCAGATTTATATACACAATATGATATACCTAGATATAAATAAAAAAGTTATAGTATAAAAGTTAAATGAAGCTGGGGTATTATGATATGCATGAAATATTATATTAAGACAGAACCTGTTCTACGTCTAGGGAAAAGTACACACATTATATTATACTCAGTAAGTTTATTTATGCTCGTATGAAGTAGTAACAGGTATTATTACAGTACATAGTATTCGATATATCTATTGTTGTGTATTAACAATTTCAAACTTTCTCCGCACAAATATAGGGTCTATTTTCCTATTAAATTAGAAAACTTTGACGTTTGAGGACCTGCCTATGTATGTGTACGGGTATATGTGTGACCTACCTACATATATACTATACGTATTAATACTAGTATTGTCTTATAAATCACATCATGTTCACACGGAGAAGGGTTGAGTATTAATCACATTACCTAAATTAAAAACTGAAAAAGTAGTAAGTATGATTAGTAAAGGAGAAAAATTTTCCCAAACCATTTTCGAATCAAAGTACATAACTACATACAAATATTGTTTTTATTTTTACCTTTGCATATATTAAGTTTTTTTTAGTGTGTATGTGTAAAAGGCTTCTAGTACTTTCAGTTTTAACTCATCGGGTTCGATTATTCGAATGTCGATATTTCCAAGTTAATAGTAGGTACGTAATTGTTGTTCGATTCCTGATATCATCGAGTAGAGTAGTAGGTACTAGTCGATAACAATACGGGTATTTGCTTCGTAGGGGATGTTAGTGCATTGCAATATCTGTCTATCGCTAGACCTATATTGTATTTGCTAACTACAATCCGCTCTAGTGGTTAGAGTTCACGAATCAGTAATTCCTTTCACTATTGTCGTTGTCCATGCTTGGCAATATATACTATATATACGGCTTCCTTATTCTATACAACTATTCCTTTCGTTGATGATCCTTCGCTGACCCAAAATTATTAGTTTACTAATCAGGAGTTATGCTTACTGGCGTACTCAGAGTTTTTAAATAGTTACCTACTTAAGACCTTAAGACAAACAAACTACCCTTATTAATTAGCAAGAAGCCCATTCAAACGAGCAAGTCGAGAACCTGATGGTATGTAAGCAATCAGTTCTGACAATAGAAATCTGTAGAACTAAAAAAGTTACAAATTTTTTGCTCCCTTTTTTATTTAGGAAATTTGGGTTGGTGGAACCTTAATAACACGTCGAAACCCCACGCAATTGTTGATTCATGTGGGTTTTCTGTGAGGGCGTGGTATCATTGCGGTCTACCCAGCCCATTTGTGCAGCCGTGCGAGCTTAGCTCGGTTTAAAACCTTCCCGTCAAACTACCTACATTTTCCCTAGTAAACTGACGAACGTTTGTGTTTGAACTTTGAATGAATAATCACCACTTCAATTTCACCAATAAAAGTCAATGAATTCGAGTTGTTATTCCCAATTTTCCTAGTTACAGGTAAAAGTTGGCCTGAAAGTTACGCAGTCAAGCATCCATTGAAATTTTACTGCAATATCAGTAAGTAGCTTATGCTCACAGACTGTGAAATGGTAGCGATCGCTAAACTGCTAGATTTATATGATTCAGTAATATCCAAACTTCCTAGAGGGCACGTAAAATTTTAAACTAACTTGCTCATTTGTATACTTTTAACAGCTTCATCCAAATTTGAATTTGGGAAATATGCCAACTTCTATTCTCCCCTTTCGCGTATCTATTCACCCCTCAAATTCTATTCACCCCGTTATACGGTATTTATAATATATTAATTATTCTACTTGTCGATTGCGTATAAAACTATAAATATGATCACAGAAAAAACCGATGCGAAACTATACTAGCGTTGTGTTTTACCACACATCTTCATTCCCAAATCTCCCAATCCTTAAATTCTCCAAAAGATTGACAATATAATTCTGGCGTCGGGTGTGCCAGTGAGAGGCGCTCATTGCTTACCATCACGGGAACCGTCTACTCGTTTGCCGCCCTATTCCAAAAACCAATATGGAGGTGCCAAAGTAAAGTTTGTACTGCACATAATACAATAATGTCTTTAAACTCTCTTAAACCAAACATGACTTATCCTGATAATCCAAGGATTACCAGGGTGATGGTAATCCATCATCTGTAAAAGTCTGTGTGATTCCACTGCTAGACTGTGGGTGTCTTCTACGTCAGACTATTTGCCCTATCTCAACGCTCAGTAAGCAGATTGGAGGTCAGGTTCAAAGGGTTAGGGATTATCAGAAAACGCTGCAGTCTGGTCACAGATGAAGTGTGATCCCTTCGATGCACCCGCGACACGATCAGGGTTGTAATGAATACCTACTCAGCACAAAAGGTATTTATTTACTACTCTAAGTCCAAATAACAAAGATTACATTAGTGTTGGACTCGGCATCAAATTCCATCAAGTTTAATCCAAATTGCGTAGTTCCTCGTGCCTCACAAATCGTTTAAACGCACCTTGTTGATTGGTATTGGTTCTAGCTGTTTACTTCATCAAATATAAAACACTGGTTACAATGTCGGGGCTTTTACCTACGACTATAATACAATACTGATATTCCATTTCGTAATCCTAACTTATAACGTAATCTGTTAACATGGTACATGCATGAGTTTCTCTGATTGCTTGTTTAGCTTTTACGGGATTTTTACTTTAGTACTGCTGAAATCAAATTCAATAGGTTTGTTACTAATAAGGATTTTTCCAGTATTCCTTTATGCTAGGGGTTTCTTATGCTCCAAGGTTATATATGTGTTTAGAAAGTACTACAAACTTGATCTTTAAAGTCTTGTTATGAGTATCAAGTCTCAGGAGAAAAATTAATATTGGCTTTCTTTCAACAATCGCAAAGTCGAGAACGGTGATTGATCGCTATTGGCCAACGCAAATGGTGTTCGGTTTAGTTCTGCGTTCCTGGTGAACTGACCAGTACATAGTGGTTGAAAATCGGGTACAAATGTTAAACAAAAATGATGAAATAACTCCTTTCTGATCGGATAGATAAACACGACGACCTAGAGCAACGAACAATTAAATAAACTGAAGACATTCAGTCTGCTTCACACAGTTAGTCACTAGAACATTCATTACATCACTTGTAACAAACCTTGAAGGAAATTTCTAATCTTAAATATAAATACTCGTCAGGTATTTGCATTCTCACCTGTTTTTATTAATGGCTTATCACAAAGCGCTGTCTGGCAGGTGCGGGGATGTTATTGTTTTATTACAGTATTTTACATAGCAATGTTATAGAGACTAGCCTATTGTAAA